GTATGTATTTATTATGATGTCATAGGAAATTTTAGAGATACATGCACAATACTATTATGAGGATGCCAAAGAATGATCAGATGCCTATGCTGCTTCCATTATTTTTTGCCCTTTTTCTGTATGATGACATGATAACTAACTTTTACAGCTCACGAGATATTCATAGTCCAGGAAATAAAAATGGTAAAGGATGAAGGGTATAAAGTGAATATGGGTGTCACACCAATAATGAAGGAGCTCTCAGCAAAAGACTACCCAACATCTCTCTCACACACACACACACACATACACAAACACACACACAACCACATATATGTTCACCTGCTTTTGTAACAAAACTGGATTTCTGTTAGTAAACTGGGGAGGAAATCACCAGAAGCTTTGCACTTGCCTATGTTTTGTTTCAACATATACTTACTATTACCAGTAAAGTTTTAAAATAACATCCTTTTTTCTGCACATGCATATTGGATTTCTTGATAGTTTTTTTAAAAATTTGCACAATGAGAATGTCCTCTTTGCGGAACCCACTTGTGTGGATTTTGACAGTTGAGCATCTACCACCACAATAAGGCTATAGACCAGTTCTCTCATCTCAAAGAAATTCCCCTTACGGTGCTTCCTTGTGCTTTCGCTTCTCCTCCCATCCCTGCTCTTGACAATAAAGATCTGTTCCTGACTTATCGTTTTGCCTTTTCTACAAAGTCATAGCAATGCAATCATACAGTATGTAGGGTTTGGATTTCTTTGCTCAGCAATATGCACATTGTAAACATCAACTTGTATGGGTTTTTTGGGTTTGTTTTTATTCTGATAAAATTGTATCTAACAAATCATGAATTTTTTTAATGTAAAAGTAATATCAGACCTGAATTACTTTGGGTTTCCTGGGTTAGAAATGCAAATTTATATCATATGAGCAGGTAATTAATTAACTGATCAGTTATGCAAATTAATTGATCTTCAATGATAAATAAAATAATGGATTTAAAAGTCTATAGCTCATTTACTCTACAAATTAACATACAGTTCATCATTTTTTCTCGTATACATATTGAACTCATTCATTTTAATTAATTACTAGAAAAACTATCTGGGATAATTATCAATCATTTATGATGATTTAGTGAATATCATTTTATGATATTATTATATCTCATATGATATTATCAGTTCTGATAATTGTATCATTTATCTTTACTATACTGTCTTGTTTTCAAAACTTAAGGATTCTTAAAATTGAGAAAAAGTGCATTCAAAATAAAGTTAAATTAATTTAAAAAATTGACTGCCATACAAAAATCTACTTCACTTACATTTCACTTGCACCTAAGTACTTACCCTGTTAGGATAATTAAAAATGTATGATTCAGTAAAATTTTATGTATTCAACAATAATATGGCAAATGCTGTCAAAATGTTTTCTTGGAGAATGCTGTTTTATGGCTATAGAGATTGATATTTGAATGTCATTTATTGTAGCTTTTCTGTGTGTGACAGATATGCCTACCCTTACTTCTCCTGTTTTGAAATTATAATTAAGAAATAAGAGGACTGTGAGACAAGAAAATTAAATGTATTTTAATTATAAATAAATTCTATAAAGAACATAGCCTAATTTCGGGAGGGGTTTGGATTGTGTTTTATAGGAGGTACATGTATATCCATAGGTAGCAAAGGTTTAGACAATATGTGTTTCTTAAAACTTCTGCTATTGCATTAAAATGTCCAACACAGGCACAGGTCAAGAGGGACAACTGTTGAAGTTACACAAGTGGCAGATCCCTTAGAATTGAACACATGCTTCTAGTATAAAAATCTGTGACCATTGATTTGATTCTGATCCCTGGAGATCCAATAGTATGTAATAGATTTACTCCCTAGAGTTTCTGTGGCTATAGATCTTTATTGAAATTGATTGATTTATCTTTCGCTTACCAAGCAGCGGTGGATTGAAACCTTACAGTGAGCCTCTCAGTACTCACACTACAGCATCCCAGGGACCATTGCAACCCTGTAAAAGGAATGTCATGTGGGGGTGCTATCTCATCTCCTAACTTCCTCTTACCTTCAGTTTGTTTTACTGCGGTAGCATGTGTGTTGCTGTGATGTTTGAAACTGTGTCACTGGTATTTAAAATACCAGCAGGATCACCCAATGTGAAAAGCGGAGCTTTCAGACTAAGAGCAGACCACAAAGAAGAAATATGCTGTCCATTATAATGAACTAGCCATTGAAAATCTTGTGAATTGCTCAGAACATACTTTGATACTGGAAAACTTATGAATAGCAGCAAACATTGTCAGCCATAATGTCACAGGATGAACCCCTTAGTTCAGAAGGTGTACAAAATATGACTGAGGATGAGAAGCCTTCTCAATATATCATTTACCATAATAACATAAATGGAGTAAAACCTTCACTCCCTTATTTGCTGATGGGCATGACTTAATATGAGAAGAAACAGCTATAAAAATCAACTAATGATTGGAACATAGAAGGTACAAAGTATGAATTTAAGAAAATAGCAAATTGTCAAAAATTTAATGGGCCATAAAATGATCTACATCCTAGGCATTAGTTAGCTGAAATGAACTGGTATTAGTTATTTTTAATCAGACAGTCATGTGTTTTAGTTTGCTGAGAATGACAAATTCAAAGAGGGATGACATCATATTAATTATTAAAAAGAACATTTCAAGATCCATCTTGAAGTACAATGCTATCTGTTATAAGATAAAATATATAAAATATGTTATAAGATAAAAATCCACTCAAGTATTACTCAAATTTATCCCCAACAACTAAAGCTCATGATGAAGAAATTAAAGAATTTTTTTCCTACCCTGTCCTACATAGTCGCTATTAATCGCTCATACTCAATGGCAGTGAGATTTTTTCCCCATTTTATTCTGAATTATGTGCTATACTACAAACGTTTTCAATTGGCAGCTAGGGCTTGGGTCATTTTTCTGTTTTCCTGAGAAGAGGACATGCCATAAGACCAATTAGTGTGGGAGCCTATGGCTGGTAGCATTTGGGAACTAGGGAGCAGTTCTAATGGATGCGTAGGTTGGCTATGAGGGTGAATGGACAGAAATTAAAGAATTTTAATATTATCTTCAATCTGAAATAGATCAAACATGCAATCATGCAATCAAGATGGATCAATAATCATTGGCAATTGGAATGCAAATGTTGTAAACAATGAGCAAAGGACAGTCATTGGAAAACATGACTTCGGAGACAGAAACAGAACTTGGGATTGCATAATAGTATTTTTTGAAGCCAAAGATGGCTTCTTCATTGCAAAATATCCTGCTTTTTTACAACACAAACAGTGACTATACATGTGGACTTCTTTAGATGATATACACAGAAATCAAACTCCTACATCTGTGGGAAGAGAGTGCAGAAAATCCTCCATCAATAGCAGCAGCTAAAACTAGGCCAGGGATTGACTGTGTAACAGACCACCAATTTCTCCTATGTGAGTTCAGGTTGAAGATAAAGAAAATTAAAACAAGTCCATGAAAACCAATATACAACCTCAAGTGGATCCCCACATGAATTTTGAGAACATCTCAGGAACATATTTGACACACTGGACATTGATGTCAAAACACCTGAAGAGTTGTGGGATGACAGCAATAAAATTATACATGAAAACAAAGAGCCATTTAAAAATAAAACACATTAAAGAAAGTATGGATGTCAGAAGACTCCCTACAACTTGTGAAACTTGTTGTGTAGCTAAGGCTACTCCACATAAATGAAATGATGAAGTAAAAGAGCTGAAGAGAAAATGTCAAAGGGAAACTTAAAAACAAGAGTAAGGTATTATAATGAAATGGGCAAAGATCTAAAAGGTAGAAATGCACTCAGTGTATCTTAAACTGAAAGAACTGAAGAAAAATTTCAAGTCTCGAGTTGCAATATTGAAAGTCTATGGGCAAAATATTGATGATGCAGGGTGTATCTAAAGAATATGAAAAGAATATGCAGAGCCATTATACCAAAAAAGACCTAGTCAAAATTCAACCATTTCAAGAGACAGCAAATGCACAGGAACCAATGGTACTGAAGGAAGGAGTACAGAGCTACACTAAAGGCATTAGTCAAAAACAAATCTCCAGGAATTGCCAAAAACATTTCAACCAGCTGATGAAGCAGTGGACGCACTCATGGGTTAGCAGCAAGTTATTTGGAAGATAGTGACTTGCCCAACTGACTGGAAGAGATGCATATTTCAGTCCATGTTAAAGAAAGTGGGCCAAACAGATTGGGCAAGTTACAGAACATAATCATGGATTTTACATGTCAGTAAAATTTTGCTGAAGATCACACGACAACAGTCGCAGCAGTACATTGATAGGGTACTGCCAGAAATTCAGTCTGGATTCAGAAGGTGACACGGACCAAGGTGCATTATTTCTGCTGTCAGATGGATCTTGGCTCAAAGCAGAGAATACCAGAAAAATGTTTATTTATCTTCTAATGACTGTGCAAAGACAGTTGATTTTGTGAACCATAACAAATTATGGACTACCTTTAGGAGAATGAAAATACATCATTATGCTAATGTAGAAATCTAAACATGGATCAAGAGACGATTGCAAGAACAGAAAAAGGAATATTGCATGGTGTAAAATCAGGAAAGTTGTTCATCAGCGTTGTATCCTGTCACCACACGTATTCAATTGTATGTTGATCAAATAATCTAAGAAGCTTGGTTTTAAGAATAATGGGCATCATGATTGGAGGAATACTCATTAACAATCTTCAATATGCAGGTGACCCACCTTACTTACTGAAAGTGAGGAGGCCATTATACACTTGAAGATGAAGATCAAGCATTACAGTCTTCAATACACACTACAACTTAATGGAAAGAGAACAAAAATCCTGAAATCCAATCAAAACTCATGGAATGAATGAAGAGAGCACACAATGAATTAAGAAAATCTGTTGGACCAGACCTCATTAAAGCTTTGAAAATCTTACTTACCTGGCAGGGGAGATACCATGAGCCAGAAGGTGGTTTTCCCAGGGCAAGGCTCATCCACTTCATTGAGGATGTGCTGACCCCTGCGATTTCCCCAAATGTGGGAAACTTGACTGCATAATTTGTGGTAGTGGGGGACTGTGTTCTCACTCTTCCCCTAAAAAAGGAAAAAAATAGTTTTGAAAATCAAGCCAATTTCTTTTATGACTAAGCTATAACTCTCTCATGCCCGGGCATTTTCAGTAACCTCATATGTATGTGAAAGCTGGATATCGAATAAGGAACACTGAGGAAGAAGCAATGGATTTGAATTATAGTGATTGCAAAACATATTGAAAGTCCCATGGTCTGTAAAAGGAACAAACACATATGTCTTAGAAGTTCAACCAGTGTACTTCTTGGAAGCATGGATAGTGTGACTTTGTTTCAATATTTTGGACACAGCAACAGGAGAAACCTATTTCTGGAAAGGGACATCACGTTTGGTAAAGAGGGGAGTGAACAACATAAACAGAGATGGATTGCTACCATGGCTGCAATAATGGGCTTACACATAAGAACAATTGTGAGGATGTCGTAGGACTGAGGAGTGTTTCATTCAGTTGTGCACAGGTTCACTGTGCATCGGAACCGACACAACACCACCAACCAAGTACAAAAGTGTATGTTGGTGCAAGTAATGAAATCCAAGCATTCAATTTCCATAATATGCATTTGCTATAAACGCTTAGAGACAGCCTGTATGAATTCATGTATTTATTTTCATTTTCTAGATCATTGAAAGTTGATGTAGGTTTTGTATGATGTTATTTTGTGCCGTTGAGATAATTCAGATTTGTAGTTACTTCAGACAGAATACAACTGTTCTTTAGGGGTTCTTAGACTTTAATTCTTAGGCCCGAGCCTTCTCTCATGGAATGGCTGGGTGAATTAAAACCCAAAACTCACTATCAAGTCAATTCTGACATATAGTGACCTTATAAATGGGAGACAATATCAAGGAGTCCATGTAGAAAAAGAATGGTTGGAAACTGATTGTGGTAGCCATTGGACAATTCTGCTTGATGCGATTGAAATATGGAATAATGTGTTATATGTATTAAATCCCAACTAATTAAAAATAACTTTAAAAAGTATAGAGTTGGACAGCCCCTGCTGAGCTTCCAAGGCTCTAAACCTGTACAAGAGGAAAAGCCTCTCTTCTTCTGAGGAGCAGCTGGTTGGCTTGAACCAGTGACTGACCTTGAGGTTGAAATTCACATGTGACCCACGATTCCACTAAGCCTTCTGCAACCCTTCAATTAGCACAATCACAAATTTTATGTCACCAGGGACTCTTAACATTTGTGTATTACAATATAAATATTAATTTTTAGAACTCCTTTCTAATATGAAAGTATGACATTCTTCTGGGGAACAGACTGAAAACATCAGAGAAATGGTAGTCTTTTAGTTTGAGGAAAATATTGTAGTTGTTATTTCTAGCCTAATGGAAAGGATAATCTGAAATACTATCATGGAGATAAAATACCTTGTTAATTAAAAAACAGAAAAGATGACTCACAGTCCTCATTTTGGCACTATCATTACAATAGTTGTAAGAATTCAGAGAGACCAGAAGAAAAAAATAACAACCCCTTTCTCTAAGAATCCGTCTGTGGAGTTGTGGAAGGTGGTCTAACATGTTCATTTCCCTCTCTTACAACTCTCATTTCACCAGTGTTTAATGGTTTAACCTTAACAAGCACGTACTTTGAATGTGGAAATTTCCATAATTGGTAAGTTATTTGAGGACCACCTTATTGGCCCATGATAACTTAATATGCACTTAGGCACTGCACTCCATTCGGGTCCCATATCCTGAAACCAATCCCAATGTCATAGATTTTTATGTTAAAGGGGAATGACATGACCTCTAGTTGTAGCAGCAGGTAATTGTGTTTTATTATACAAAGTTAGAGTTGAGTTTCCTTCCCCCCCCCCCACCCCGCCCCCCGCCCCACCTTGTATTCATGGTCAGACTACAGGTGAACTCTTCAAATGTAATGAGTACAATTTAGGTGTTTCTAGGAGACACTTAGCTATAATTTGAAATATATGATTTTCAAGTAAATGTTTAACATTATTCATATGTCACTTTCAATTGAAAAATCACTGGCTATTAGAAGTATAAGAGCACTGATGGAGTAGTGGCTACATATATTGGGTTGCAATCCTCAAGGTTGGCAGTTTGAAACCACTAGCCTCTCCTCTCCTCAGGGCCAAGAGGGGGCTTTCTACCCCTGGAAAGATTTACTGTCTCAGAAATTCACAGAGACAGTTTTGCCCTATCCTGTATGGTTACTGTGAGTTGGCTTTGACTCAATGGAGGTGAGAATTTTTTAAAGTGTTGGTGTTTTGAGAAATCTAGACTCTCTTTCCCTAAACTTACTAACTTTGTTTCTATAGCCACAAAACAATATGATAGTTACAACACTTTAGAATAAGATATACTTTTAATTTTCTAGCAGATTAATTAAAATGCAAACAGATGGTAAACTTATCTAATTTCATTGGACAAGGGACATCATAAATATAAATTAAATATTTGAATTTAATATATTTATGAATGACATTGTTTATGCCACACTTTAAAATGCAATTATATGAGCACATCTTTTGTATAAGCTTGTGTTTTATTTTCATATGAACGTTGAAAAAAAGTTAACCTTTCTAAGGAGAGTGACTAATAACTATGTAATTGAAATATTACAATAATATATAAAATTATCATTTAATAATATTTCATTTCAAAACGTGAACTACCCCTATTTTAATTCATATTTCTAAAATGATTTTTAAAAGTATTACTTCTCAGTGAGATTGTGGGAAAGAAGATGATCAAGTTACAGAGATACAAATGCTGTCGGCTCATTTCTGTTAGCTCTGGAATTGTTTCACTGATAAGAACAAAAGGGATATAGAAGTAAAATGTATAAGCCTCTTCCAAGCCTTCATGATGCTGTGAGTGGCAGCAAATCACACGTGCCTAGGCTGACACCCACTGAGCCCATGATAAAAAGACTATACTGATGTTGCGTCAACACAGGTGAGTGTTCCAAAGCCCAGGAAATAACTGGCATCAGGAGAGGTGTAGTGGAAGTTGATGGGATCAGGAACCGTTTAGGCATTGACTGCATAAGGATGATAGACAATATATAAAGCTTGTAATATGCCAGTGGTTCTCAGCCTTCCTAATGCCACTACCCTTTAATCCAGTGCCTCATGTTGTGGTGACCCAGTTTGTGGGCGTATCTACATGTGGGTGGAGTCGCCTGGAGACTGATGGTCTCTCGGTTCCTAAGACCATTGGAAATATGGTCTTAGATGTCACTCTTGTGAAAGGGTCGTTCGTCCCCCAAAGGGGTCACGACCCCCAGGTTGAGAACCACTATAATAAGCAAAGGATGCCAAACTCAGACATTCACAGCAATCCTATAGGACAAAGTAGAACTGAAGTCTAACTCTTTATGGGGACAGAAAGCCTCATCCTTCTCCAGAGGAATGGTTGGTGTTTTCCAATTCTGACCCTTCAGTTAGCAGACTAAGGAGTTGCCCTCTATGCCTCTGGGGTGCCTCTTAGGCTTGTAATAGGAATTTTAATTTGATTTCTGAAAATGACAGTTACTGTCTGCAGGCTCCCAAGAACTAATAAATGGGTGCCTTGGTGTTAGGTAAACTGAAAATAACTGATTGCTTCTAGCACAATGATGTTAACTAAAACAGATCAATGAGCGTGGGGTGTGGCAAAGAGAGTGAACCAACAGAAAATGCCTTTAAGCTTGATGTTTGGTCGGGTCATGAAGGGGCCACCTATTGGACCCTATTGTCTTTTGTGTATTTTCAAGCATAGTGAAGTTTTCAAATCTCAATCTTGGGCAAAAAAAAAAAAAAAAAAGATGTGAACCAGACATATCACCCTACAGAAAAGAGTAGAATTGCCTCTGGGTTTCTGAAACTGCTGATCTTCCGGGAACAGAGAACATCCCCCTTTCTACCCTTGGCAGGTAGGTTCTAACTGCTGACCTTGCAGTTTGCAGCCCAACATTGAATCTACTTCAGTTCTTAATTCCGAAAGAGCTTTTAAAATAGAAATACAATTGCTTAAAGTATGGGCTTGCAAATATTCTTTAAAGCTTTGTGAATTTGAAGAAATTTTGGTTTATTTGTTAAATAGTATTTATTACTATAAGATAAAGATATATTTGCTAACATAAAAGGTTCACATTAAGGAAATTTAATAGAAAATATCATCTAAATCTACCGGTTCTTAATATTTTAATTAAATAAGCCCCATAAGGAACTATAAGTGTATTAAAATATTCTTAGTTATAAGAAATTAAAGCACAATACATATTAGAATGCAAATACTGATAATAAGTACATTTCTAACTCCATTAAGTCTCTTATTTTAACTGTATTATACATTCCTTATAAGAGCAAAATATATGCAATACCATATATCTTTCTTGGAGATAAACTTTAAGAAATTCAAGCCATCAGCCTGTTTTACATGCTTTGTTGTGATTCACCAGGCAAGTCAACAGCCATTTCAGTTTTCTCCTGGCTATAAAATAGGAAATGTGTGTCCAGGGAACATAAATCTACTGTGACTTTTTCTATCCAATTTCAATTGCTCTGCTGCCATCGATTCCAGTGCGTCACACTGTGTCAGAACAATGGAAATTAGCGCTATGTAGGGACTGCCAAGTTCATTTCACACAACAGCAATCACAGCAATAATCAAAATAATATACAATCATTCACGAGAATAAACACAATGCCATAAATTAGAGTCCCAAAGAAATCAGTCTCAGTCTAAAAGAAATCAGACACGTGTCTTTTAGAGACACTAATTATTCTACTTCTCTCCTTCTTTTGCTTGTTTTCATGAGCATCTGTTATGTGGGAATGTATTTTGTTTTACAGTTTGTACTTTTTAATAGGCAGATGTTAGTTTGTTTTGTTTTGTTTCAGCCCAGTAAATGTGCGAGCAATTAGAGACAATAAAGGCACCAACAAGGATGAAGATTGCCAAAAATCTCCTGGTTCGGTTGAATTTCCAAGAAGTTACCTATAAACAGATTTCACCCTATTTATTCAAGAAGAATTCAGTAGAC